CACCCGAATTTGTGACAAAAAATTCGTCCCCCAGAGTTGTTTATAATTTAAAATTTATTCTTTGTAAAAAGATTAAAATATTTTTATCAATATAATTATCTAATATATATAATTCTCTTACGTGGCTCCCAAATTTTGGCTGTATTTCTTTTCCGCCGGTGGCAACGTTTGCTTTGTTTTGTTTACGTTACTATTTCTCTTACATGGCGAATCGACCAATGATTGCCACTAATAATATCACATGCCAAATCTAGCTGAGGTGGCTCAACATATAGCGCTTTTAAAAACGGAAACTGAAATAACCAGAGAGCCTCAGCTTCGGCAATCTCATACTATTAAGCTAGGCAGAGGTGAGTAGTCTTTGTCGATAGATCTCTATTTTAGTATTTTGGCGAAAGCGCTTTTTTTCACGAATTTATATAGTACGAATTTATTTGACGGTTTTTGATTTATATCACGAATTATACTATAGCACATTTCTAATAGGTTTAACGAATTACATGTCATTTATTTCAATTCAAATTTATTTTAATGATTTATTATTTACTAAAAAGATGTATTAAAAAAAAAATATTTTATTTGGATTTGAATGATTGTCTTGAATTCTTAGAATTTTGTGCATTTGCAATGTACCTAAGTTAGTAGCGAGCTTGGCCGGTAGAATCATACCTTTATTTGAATATTTTGAGTTTTTCGCAGCGATTGTTCATTAGCTATCGTTTTATAAAAAAATAAAAAAAGAAAGCATTATCTTCTTTCGCGTATCGATTTTTTTTCTATGAAACACGTGGTATAAACGTAACATGAAGTAGATGCTAAAACTGTGAACTATTTTTAAAACTAGTTCATTTTACACAGAAATTAAATGGTCGAGCTTGGTTTGCGAAGCAAACCATATAAGATTGCATAGTAATTTTCGGGGGTTGACGAGCGTTAGCGAGCAGGGAGTGCAACCCAGTCGTTTATAAAAAAATCAGCAGCATTATGAAACTTGCAAAAGGAATAAAAATGGCCGAATAAAGATGATGACTGCAAAATATCGTATCTTACTAGACAATGAATATTTTGCTCCGAAATTTCTGTTGAGAATCCCCAAGACTGTATTCTATTTTCAATACTTCGCACTGTTTTTTTTTAAAAATTTTCTCTCCAGTGAATAAGAAAAAAATTGCATTGATTTAACTATTGATGTTCTCTTCAAAAAATGATCTTTCCAAAAATCTGAAATCTTGCTTTCAGCTGATTCCTTATAGAAATATACCCATTTTTTGATGCATTCTTTATTAAAAGGAAACATATGCATTTTCTACGATATGATTTGCATAAAAGAGCCTTAAAATAGTTTTTGATGCATTTTTGAATGCTTTATCGAGATGGAATTCAAAAAAAGAGTTTTTACTTGGATTAATTTATCACTATTTTATGCACGTTCCGTTGGAAACCGTCTACAAGCGGAATACTAAACCGAATGGAGGGAATTACCATAAATCTTTGATACTTCAATTTTTTTTTCTTAAGGAAAATAGGAACAAAATACGTAGCTCTTTGAACAAATAATAAAAGATTTATTTGCTTAGGTTATAAACTAATATCCTTAAGCTATCGGAAAAGGTTTGTTTTGTTTTCCTTTATGTTTTTCTCGATGGAACTTTTTAATGGGATATATGTTTGCATGTGCTTTGTGAATAATTAAAAGAATAATGATACTCTATTTCTTAAATGCAATATTGCTCCTTTTTAAAAATGAATTCTAAAAATTAATTAATGTTCTCAATATTTAAGTTTTTAAAACTTGTTTGGCCGTAAATATTGAAAGGAAAAATTTTTTTTGCGGATGTTTTTAAGTTTCTTACGATTATAAGTTATTCATTACTATTATAAGTTTAATCTTAAAAGCTTTAGTTTTAATTTCCCTTGGGAGTAATTAACAATTTAAACACAAAAACGTTGCATCACTATTTTATCAAAAAAATCTAATTATGGAAAATTTTAATGCGTTATTAGATAAAACATAATATAACATTTAATGATTTTAGAACTTGAAAGTTCTATAAAATTATTTTTTTTTTACCTTTTAAAAATATATTTAACTACTAAAAAATATGAAGTATTTACTAAGAAGGTAGTTCAAAGTAAAGGTATTTAACTTAAGATTAAACAAAGAAATTAAAATGATTATAGTATGAACTCTAAGTGCAGTGAGCAAACCACTCTGAATAACTTTTGATCTAATGATTGGATCTTCACGTTTTAAGACTCAATCTTTCAATTCACTTCAATTCATTTGATTTTTCAATTCCATTTCGGGAACATTTAAAATAAGAACAGCTGATTCTGGGTTCATAAGTACACTAACACCTAAAATTAATTCGGTATTCTGACTTTCACACACATCTTACAATATTAAGAAATGTGCACAAGCATTAAGGTGTGCAAAAAGAGGCAAAAAGAGGGGACTATATGCTATAAAGCTTGATGTATTTTTAAGAAATTAAAATCATTTCAGCATGATGAAATCCATGCACAGTAAGCAAAAAAAGGACCAACCAGTATAACTTTTGATTTAATGATCGGATCGTGCTAGGATTGAGTTTGAGCGAACGATATTATAAGTCTGGAAATCAGACACAGAAACGTTCTTTCTTTAAATAAACATACCTTTTATCAACGGATTCAGATTTTCTGACTCACACATTGTAGGATCGCAATCTGGGAAGTATGGTCCCAATAGTTTGGTCTAGGGAGCAGTCCAAAGTATGTACACCTTAATGCTAATCTTAAATTTTGCGTATTTCGCCATATCTCAAGAATTTTTTAAGGGAATCGAAACATTTTTTCGCACAAATATACGCAAGTAACTTTTAGTAAATGTTTATTATTTTATTTAATAACAGTTAAAAAGATATTTAAATGCAAGGGAAAGAAACGAATCACCCTAAATAACTTTTGATGTTATGATGGAATCTTCACGTTTCAAGACTCATTCTTCATGGTTTGAAGGGTTAATCTCAAGTAGGGTTAGCTTTTCAGTTATAAAATCAAACACAAAAACTTACTTTCCATGAAGAAGAATATATTTTTTCGATTGATTTGGATTTCTAAACCAAAGTATTGGGTTGGCTGCAATCTCGGAGACATGGTTCCCATACTTTGGCCAGGAGATCGATGCAAAGTTTGGACCCTTAATAACAAATTAAATTTGCTTATTTTGCCATATTTTGAGAACTTTTTAAATGAATTCGTTTTTCCAAAGATAAGTCCGTGCAAAAAATACATTTTAGACAATGTTTATTAATTTGTGGATTTTGCCATATTTTGAGAACTTTTTAAATAAATTCGTTTTTCCAAGGATAATTCCGTGTAAAAATAAATTTTAGACAATGTTTATTAATTTGCGTATTTTGCCATATTTTGAGAACTTTTTAAATGAATTCGTTTTTCCAAAGATAAGTCCGTGCAAAAAATACATTTTAGACAATGTTTATTAATTTGCGTATTTTGCAATATTTTGAGAACTTTTTAAATGAATTCGTTTTTCCAAGGATAATTCCGTGCAAAAAATAAATTTTAGACAATGTTTCTTACTTTGCGTATTTTGCAATATTTTGAGAACTTTTTAAATGAATTCGTTTTTCCAAAGATAATTCCGTACGAAAAATAAATTTTAGAAAACGTTTATTATTTTTTTATTCTTTTATTAAATAACAGTCGAAAATATTTTGAATATTAAGCTATACAATTTATTAACTCATTTTAAAGTATGCAATTTGCAATACAAAAATACGAAATTTGGTTAAAATCAGTTAAGTAGTTTCTGGGAAATTTAATTTTATCAAAGTCGTATAGTTAAAATTTGAATTCTCAATAACAATTCTACCGATATCGCTCCAATCCTGTAGTTTGCCATTTAAAATTACATACTTTATGCAAGTATAAATTATAAACCGTATAATTAAAAATTTGTTCGACTGAATAATAATGGTTGCTTTTAATGCCACATGCCACACGGGCAAGCCTGCTTGGTGAAACTGAGCAAATTTAAGGCAGAGTGTGGGATTCTTGTTTTTCAGTGGTGCCATCTATGGCCAAGAATTCGATTTAGCCACAACGCACGTCACACCTGTTTATAAGGCGGACCCACTCCTACATCCATTCATTCATCCACAGATCGTATTTTTGACCTGAATCAGAGAACGATCGATCTCAATCCAGTATCCCCAGAGGTTTTGATTTGTTTTGGGAACAAGGAGGACTTTGTGACTCGACAGAATTTTAACGTGCATCAGTCACCAACTACACGGGGAGTCTTCGGCCGACGGGGTTCGAACCCACGAACTCTCGGACATGGGCCCTGCGTCCTACCGACCAGGCAATCCCGGCACCTGAATAATAATAAAATATAACAATATAATAATTAAAAACAATAAATACCTACCAAAATTTATTTTTTGCACGGAATATTCTTTGGATAAACGAAGTTCGTGAGTGCGTGTGCAAAATTGATTCACTTTAAATCAATTAAGTCTTAAGTGCCACAATTATGTCGTAGGGGTTTGTATCAAAGCCTAGTTAGTGTTCAGAAACATTTAGTGCAAAGGGAAAGTGTAAGGTAGTGCTAAAAAGCATTTCTGGTGTTTCACTACACGAAGAACTCTCCTAGGTATTTTGTTACCACCATCTTTTACGTTGAGATATTATAAAATGTTTTACTCACTGCAAGAAAGTGACACTCAAATATCACAAAATAACTGTTCTTTATTTTTGACGAAACTGTTTCCTGGTTGGTATTCCGAGCAAAAGTTCTGTTGATAGAATAGATGTCGTCAAAGGAATGGAAAAACTTTCGTCACGTTTTCGATTAAATATATTTCAGCAAAATTGAAAAAATAATTCCTAATTTTTTTTACTTCCAAAAGTTTAAAAAATATATAAAAAACAAACTCGTCGTGCCCAATGTATCTAGCATTTCTAATAATAACTTTATTTTGGACAATTTCTAGGTGGATCAATGTCACTCCAACCACATAAGAATAAGGACAGATAGAACAGAGTGATAAGCTACATGAATGCCCGAAGCGGGATTCGAACCTGGGATATTCCTGATTAGAGGTCAATTCCTTGATCATTCGACAGGTCAGCTCACTTTATTTTAGATCTTCCAGTCTTTATTTTAATTTCGAGATTCTAGTAAACTTTTTTCCACAATGCTCTCCGATGTGCTTTCGAGTTGAAGAAACATTTTCGTCATAGATTTGAGGATCACGTTTTGTCACGAATCTCTTGAATTCGTAGCAAAATGATCCTTTAAATTAACGAAATACTGTTCAAGGATTGCTGAAATCGTCAAAAGTGAGAGTTTTATTTCTGAGAGTCTAGTGCAGGTGTAAAAACATCAACAATCGTTGTTCGGAGAAAAACAACATATTTTTCTTTTTTTTTTTCCTGGTTGAAGTCTTACATTCTTGTACAGATTCTCCTTTTTTAGCCTCAAATTGAAGCAGGAATTTCGGACCAAATATCTAAGCTGTCTAAACAGCTTCTCAGTAATAATCACAATTTCTATAAAAATTAATTTGTCTAAGATAGCAAGAGAAAAGTATTCTTACAATTGTATGTACTAAAATATTTGATAAATACAGAAAAAACACATAGACTATAACATTTGTATTTTGCATACATTATCAATCAAATTTTTAAATTTATAATGTTATGGATTTTAAAGTAAAAATATATAAAGAAAGCAATAAACTACGCCAAATTTTTCTTACTTTTTCATCTAATTTTGATACAAGCTTTGTTTAATTATGAGCTTTTTCAAAAATGAGAGCTGTTGAAAGAAATCGTATTTTGTTTTTGACAAATAAAGGTTGAAATAGAAAAGTACGGAATTACTATTTTGAGGGTGTATCTGAAGTTCGGGTGTGAATTTGGGTTGGGGTGGCTCTCATATTGGCATACAATTACGTTCCCTATCATGAGATGCAATGCAATTATTAGTATGATAATAATGATGGTCTCCTTATGATGCGATGATGAAAATTCTTTATTATGAAATTCTCTATCCATATGATGTAATTATGATAGAGCTTAATGATGCAATTCTCAATCTTTATCATTGAATTCCTATATTAAACCTTAATCGACCTCCTTTTCTAGTTTGTAAAAATAAAACTTTTTTACAAAAAAATTTGATTTCAATGAATTTCAAAAAAATTGTGTTTTTCTTGTAAATTTACATTGTTACATATTGCATCGCGTAAATTTACATTATTATAAATTTACATTATTATAAATTTACAGAAAAATTATACAAAAAGGTTGTACAGTGCTTCAAAAAAATGGTTCACCCTGAAACATTTTTGATCTAATGATCGGATCTTCACATTTTTAGGACTCAATCTTTCATTCCCTTCAATTTCCTTACCATATAATTTAGAATAACAGTTGATTCGGGGTGCTTAAATACATTAATACTTAAAATTAATTTGTAATTCTAACTTTCACACACATCGGAGAGGAAATATTAAAAAATACCTGAATTAGGTTTATTTTCTGATGAAGGCATAATTATCTTTATAACGCAATTATAGAAAGTTGTTAAAAATACACTTTGATTGAAAAAGATAAATTATTCAGCTTTTGATGATGATGCTGATTAACAAAAAAAATGTCTTCATCGGATTAAGCTGCTTTCAATGCGTAAATTTATTTATTATTAGCTAAATTTGCGATAGTTGTCGCATAATGCTTATTTATTGTTCTCAAATATTTTCCCTTATTTTTTAACTAGTAAGCAAAAAGATTAATGAGGGAAAGGAAATAGAAATTATTCTCCTTTTAAAAACCTTTTAGCATAATCTTTACTTCGTATCTTCATTTTCTATTTACAAAATTTAGTATTTTGTATACTTACAATATTCAACACCAAGAAAGTTTTTCTGTATTTTAATATTAGGGGAAATGCTTTTCATCTGTATTTGTTTAAAATTTACCGAAAAATTCGCCATGGAATTTAATTTCAGGATGAATATTGTACCCAACGGGAGCCTCACACTGAATCTAGCACAAGTTTTGAATCTCATTACGCTTTACCTCACTTTTTACAAAACAATCTGAGTTTCGAATTCCAAAGATCCACTTTCCATTTCGAAAGATTAGATCTCTTTTTTTTCCATCCCGAATTTCAATTCCGACTTTAGTCACGTAGTGAATTACAAAGTGAAATAAACTATTCTAAATGCCGGCAGTGACATCATTAAAACATAACGTCACGTGGTCGTTTAAAGAGGTAAAATTTATTATTCGTTCTTTTTTGGGCAACGCAGTTCTCTCTCTTAAATCAGACGAAAAACGAAATGTCGTCTGCATTTCTCCCTTTTATGGTTGTCAATTTTTTTTCAAAAAAAGAATTGGAAACTCTTGTAATGTCTAAATTTCTTTCAAAACTGGTGCCATTTTTAGGAGTCCTTCCTTTTAATGAAAATATTTCTATGGAACGTGTATTTTCGGAAAAATGTTTTCCGGTGGCGGTTGATAGGGAACAAGAAAAATGGCGTAGCTCTCACACTTGTCAAAACCTTCTTTTCTGTAAAATATAGTTGAAATTTTTCAAGCGGTTTAAACTGAGTTATTGGTTTTAATAATATTCTTTGATATTTTAAGTTAAAATTTAAAGAAAATGTGATTCCGTTGAAAGATCTGAACTTCTCATTGTTGGAAAAAGAAAGTTATGTAAGTCCTCGAGCTAGGGAAAATGGAATATTTCAGAAAAGGGAATTTTATAGAAATATATAGATTTGAAATATGAAAATGCATAAAATTCTTCATTCGTTTCTTTTATTTAAAAGACGCGAATTTTTTATTCTCAAGTTTTAATGACTTACCATTCACGAAGTTTAATTTTTACCCCGAATAGTACCATGATATGTCTCAATTTAATAGAAATATTACTTTGAAATAATAAGTGATTAAATATTACTTTACTGTTTGGTAATCTTTTAAATAGTTCTCTTTCTTTTAAAATTAGTTTCAAGATGATTAATAGTTAAAAACCGTTTTAATATTGACTGTGTCTTTATAACCCTTGTTTTTTTAAGATCAAGAAAATACTGTTTCATCGTTTATACCGAAAATACCGAATCATCGTTTATTATAAGCAAGGTTAAAGTTTGCTACCGATTTTTTTCGATAGATTTTTTTTTAAATGGTGGGGGCTCTTGGGATTCATAAATTTCTTCCTTGTTCACAATTCTCTTCATTAGATACAACCACCATTATTATTTATAACCTGCTCCAGCATTCATATATATTCAACGTTCATAAACCTTTTTTGTGCGTATAACTCATTTATAGAAATGGTTTTTAAAACAAACAGTTTTAAATATTCTGCTGAAATATTTGCTTAAAATAACTGGTTACGAAACAGTTTTAAGTATAAATTACAACGCTGTATAACCATTCTACATTGTCTATAATTTTCCGTATTATTTATAACCTACATCAGAGAATTTACATGTCTTTTTCGTTGCTCATAATATTCTTTATTTTTTTGAAATTTTCTTCATTAATAATAACTACCATCTGCCTTCTCCAGCAATCATAAACATTCGTCAACGTTCATAAACGTTTTTTTATAGCTCATAACATTCCTCAACCTTTTTAAGTAAATGATCTTTAAATCAAACAGTTTTAAATTTCGATTTAAATATTTGCTTAAAAAACTAGTTTTGAAGCAAATTCAAGTATAAATTGCAAAAATCTCTACAAAAAAAAGTATACTGGAAAAAATTGCCATCGTAACCAAAATTATTCGAAATGGGTGTCTTAATTTTAAATTAGTAAAAAAAAAATACAAGTATGCATTTTAAATTAGTCATAAAAATACAAGTATATCCATTAACGTAAAAAACAGTTCTTAAATTTTTTTTCTTGTACGCATTGCTAAAACTTCACGCTGAAAGAAGTTAATAATCTCTGAACTGGAGTTTTTCCGTTGATATGCATTTTTCTTTTATCAGAAACTTTGCGAATCGATGAATCGAAAAGTGAAATCTAGTTATTTTCGCATCAGAAAATACGATGACTTTGCATACAGTCTATATTTTTCAAAAGAGTTGCGACTTTTCTACTTTGCTTGTAAATTTTTGTTATAGTGACAGTTTTTCGCTACTTTTATTTCTAAAAACTTCTATTATTTTCCAGTTATTCGTAAACTCTCAACCTGTTCTAAGTAAACTAAGCTGAGATAAATTCAAATTGTAAATTACTTTGTAATAATCAGTGTAAAACAAACATTTTAGAATCAAATTTCGAATTTCTCTCTTTGTAATACTGTCCAATAAAGTTTCAAAACTTTATTTGACGTATTTTTCTGTTAAAAGTGCATGATTTGAATCAATATTTTTTGTTGAAATGGAATATGCTGTTAAGGATCTTAATTTAAGCAAAAGACGTGCTATAAATAATTTAATTATGGAATAAGTTTTCCATATTTTGAAAAAAATTTCAAATTCAGATTATTTTTTGTCGTATGCCTGTTTAGGCAGTGGGGGAGCGATTGTTCCTGCTCTTCAGTGGCGCCATCTATGGCCAGGAATTCGACTTCTGCCACGCCATTCACACAACCCGTTTTTAGGGCGGTTCACATTCACACACAAAGGAGAATGGACATAGAACACTCAGAGAGAGAAAGAAACATGCATGCCTTGCCCGGGATTCGAACCCAGGACCTTTCTGAGTCAAGGACAGTTATCTGCCCCCTACACAGGCCGGTCGGCGATTATTTTGATGTCTTAAATATAATATAAATACAATTTTATGAGCATTTGATTTTAAATAAGAAAGGGAATATAAATATCTCATAGGAGCATGAAAAAAAATTGCTTTAAAAATTATTAAAAGGCAATGAATTAATATTATCTCTACACAATATTATCAATTTGAACATCAAATAAATTAAATACCGAAGTTCCGAACTTCAAAAAAGTAACTATATTTATATTCTTTTAAATTTATTTTACAAGACTGTATATGTTAATAAATTACAAAATTCCACATCTTTATATATATTTAACAATCTCGCAAAAGTTGTTTTAGGAAATCATGACATTAGGACTTCTTAAGAGCCATATTAG